GAGTTCAATGACAGCATTAAGGCGATACACAGGGTTGGCAGCGTGTCCTTTACCCCCACCCCTCAATGACGCCCACCACTATCACCGAAGCAGAGAGGTGCATCATCTCCCCCGTCTTCATCACCATGCCTACGTCAACCACCTCCCCCCCTTCAAGACAGCATATGCTGCAACTATAACTGATATGTGCTGGTTCCAGGCTCAAGGGTATATGGCACTCTCAACTCTTTCCAGGAAAACGGAAACATGGATTGAACAAAATAAGAGAGCAGCTGTTCTTATTCAATCAACCCCTCCCAACTTTAGTTTTATGAGTCAGGAAAGAATGCATAAGAAATGAGGTGGAGTTGCTATTCTGTTCAATGATTCCCTTCAATGCAGGAAGACATCGTATGGGAACTTTGCTTCTTTTGAATATGTGGCCCTTCAGCTGAAATGCTCCTCTCGAGCTCTGTTCCTAAATATTTATAGACCACCCCAAAACTGTGCAAGATTTGTTGATGACCTTACTGAACTGCTGTCTATAGTGTGTATTGACTTTGACCGTCTAGTCATTGTTGGGGATTTTAACATCCATGTTGACAACCCCCAGGACAGAGGGGCTAAAGAACTGTTTTGTGTTCTTGATAACTATGGACTAACTCAGCATGTGACGGAGCCCACGCACAATAAGGGGCACACTCTGGACTTAATGATCTCAAAGGGTCTGAATATCTCTGAGGTTGTGGTGACTGATGTTGCACTCTCTGACCATTCCTGTGTTTTCTTTGAGAGCTCTATTTCTGTTCACACAAATGTACAAAAAGAGATAACCACAAAGCAATATTTAACTGAAAATACTAGGGAAATGTTTACTCAGAATGTTTCTTCCACACTTGCCCCTGCTAACATTTGAGTAAATGAGCTAGTAGATCTTTTTTTTTTTTAAATTAAAAATGTTATAGATGCCATGGCTACAACTCAGGTAAAAGAAGTGACTGGCAAGAAAATATCTCCATGGAGAAAGGCCATGACCGTGAGAACAGAAAAAAAGAGTGTTGGAAAGCTGAACGCAAGTGGCGAAAAACAAATCTCCAGGTTCACTTTGAAATCTATAAAGAGAGACTTGGCTTTTATAATTTGGAATTGAAATTTGCCCGACAGTCTTTCTTCTCTGACATCATTGCCAAAAACAAAAACAATGGACTAACAAACCCCCCAGTGTCAGTAGCCTCAGAACTTATATCCACCAGGGCCTGCAATGACTTTGCCTTCTTCACTAACATATTTCAGAAAATCAGACAAGCAGTCAGTGCCTCTGTATCAGGTACAGCAGATGTGTTTTCCCTGTGTCCACTTAAAATCAATTCAAACACCATGACACAATTCCATCAGATTAATGATAAAAACCTAGAGGACATTATACAACATCTGAAATCCTCCTCCTGCTGCCTTGATATTATTCCAACAGGATTTTTCAAAGATGTTTTTCCTTGCATGGCCTCAGATCTCCTTCACATAGTAATAAGTCTCTTCACTCAGGTGTTTTTCCACAGGCCCTGAAAACTGCAGTCATTAAACCGCTCTTAAAAAAGAATAATCTAGATGCTTCAGTAATGAACAATTACAGGCCCATATCAAACCTCCCATTTCTAGGTAAAATCATTGAAAAAGTTGTTTTTCAACAGCTGGGTAATTTCTTGAATTCAAATAACTGTTTGGATGTGTTCCAGTCAGGCTTTCGTCCAAACCACAGCACTGAGACTGCTCTTGGAAAAGTCTTCAATGACATCCACTTAAACACAGACAGTGGCAGATCTTCAGTGTTAGTATTGTTAGATCTCAGTGCTGCGTTTGACACTGTTGACCACAGCATATTACTAGACCGACTGGAAAACTGGGTGGGACTTTCGGGAACAGTTCTAAATTGGTTTGAATCCTACTTAAAGGAGAGAAACTACTTTGTTATATCTCTCACAGGCTCCGCCCTCCACTGGACTCTATGTGTACTACCTTATCATGCAAGCATTCACCTACTGAGACTTCTATAGGCAACAGTTCTAAATTGGGTTGAATCCTACTTAAAGGACATAAACTACTTTGTTTCTATAGGTAAATACACATCTGAGTTGACAAATATGACATGTGGGGTTCCTCAAGGCTCCATCTTGGGGCCTCTTCTCTTTAACATCTACATGCTACCACTGGCTCAGATAATGAAGAACAACAAAATAAGTTACCATAGCTATGCAGATGACACACACATTTACATAACTATTTCACCAGGAGACTAAGCTCCAATTCAAACACTGAGTAAGTGCATTGAACAAATCAATGACTGGATGTGTCAGAACTTTCTCCAATTAAACAAAGATAAAACTGAGGTAATGGTTTTTGGAGCCAAGGCAGAACGTATAAAAGTTAGCGCTGAGCTTCAGTCTGCAATGTTCAAAACAACTGATAAAGCCAGAAATCTAGGTGTAGTCATGGACTCTGACCTGAGTTTCAACAGTCACATTAAAACAGTTACTAAATCAGACTACTATCACCTAAAGAATATATCTAGGATTAAAAGACTAATGTCACAGCAGGATTTGGAAAAACTTGTCCATGCTTTTATCTTCAGTAGACTGGACTACTGTAATGGTGTTGTTGTGGCGATCCAGCATAACACAACAGGAACGAATGAAACAGAGAGGAATCAATAAAACACAAACACAGATATATCGCTGATCAATAATTATTATTTAGTAGTTGCAACAAACAAACAATAACAGCCACATCAGCCAATCGCAGAAATGCCCCACGTCAGTAGAAACAATCATACAGCATATATAGCCACTGCAATGAACACACACACGTTATCATGCAGCCTACCACACAAATGTCACATGTTTATCTCTCTGAAAGCTATACTTGTATATGTTTAAACGTCATCGTCTCCTGACATTTTTAGGATTAGTTAACTAACAAAGGTTAACTGTTTTTATAACCTGAAGCCTTCTGAACTTCCTCTACCCTCGGTGTCGGCTCACTTAAAATGAATACATCTATTGATAATTCAGAACGACCATTGTCTCTCCAACTGTGTGTGACCCAACTCAGTAACACACATCATATGGAATAGCATGTGATCTTTATTGAATATCAGAAATACGCTGTATTAAACATTCTGCTATAACAGTGTCTTCACAGGTCTCACTAAAAAATCCATTAGAAACCTGCAGTTAATTCAGAACGCTGCTGCTCGAGTCCTCACTAACACTAAGAAAGTGGATTACATCAGTCCAGCTCTGAAGTCTTTACACTGGCTTCCTGTGTGTCAAATAATTGATTTCAAAATACTGCTGCTGGTTTATAAAGCACTGAATGGTTTAGGCCCAAAATACATTTCTGACCTCCTGCTAAATGATGAACCATCCAGATCTCTCAGGTCTTCAGGGACTGGTCAGCTTTCTGTCCCCAGAGTCAGAACTAAACATGGAGAAGCAGCGTTCAGTTATTATGCTCCAAATATCTGGAACAAACTCCCAGAAACCTGCAGGTCCGCTGCAACTCTGACTACTTTTAAATCCAGATTGAAGACTTTTCTTTTTGCCGCTGCTTTTATTCGTGTATTTTTTTCTTTTAAGGTGTCTGTTATTATCTTTGATTTTTAATGACTGTTTTTAAATGCCATTTTCTTAATGTCTTTCATTTTTGTAAAGCACTTTGAATTGCCTTGTGTTGAAAGGTGCTATATAAACTTGCCTTGCCTATGATGAAACTGGCTCTCATGAGGACCCCCCGGGAGAGGAAGACCAAGAGTGCATTCACTCTAAAAAAGTGAAGGCACTCTTGGTCTGCCTTTTCCTTATTTACACATGTGCCATAAGATGCTTGTAAGGTGGTGATTAAGGCGATGTATTTACTATGTGGGCCATAATAATATGTGAGAAATTGTTGTTTTCTTGGACCTTGATGTGAAGTTAAGATTTTTGATAAGCTTTGGGTATTGCAATTTCCCACGTGTACAAAAGTAGCTTAATTCAACTGATGACTTTATGTGAATAAATGTAAGCGATGCGATGCAAGTAGCTCTTGACCACTTTCATGTTTTCAAAGTAGCTCTCAGATCGAGAAAGGTTGGAGACCCCTGCTCTATGTGATCCAGACAGGGGAATGAGAGACAGAAGTGGACTCAGCAGTGAACTTCAGCACGGACTCCAAGGTACAAAGACCCGTTTTTTTCATACTGTACAAAGAATCAAGAAAGCAATTGGTTTAAAAAGATGAAGTATTGACTATAACACACTGATATACATGCCATTAAACATTACCACATTCTAGATCACCTACACACCAGTGAAGTTGAGTGTTCTTTCCATGCAAAAGGTTACATTTAGATGTTAACAAGCAACATTACTTTTTTGTCAGCTTTCTTATTTCAATGTATTGAAGGCAAAGATTATTTAACACAAAGTGAGAACTGCTTCTATTTATCTCTTTATATTCTGTATATGTGGTAAAAGTGATGATTTCAGTGAGACAACCAAACAGAGCAAGCTTCTACAGTTGCACTTAGTTTTGATAACAGATACATATTATTTTGATAATAAAATATATTTGAATGTTGATGAACTTCATTCATAATCTGATTGTCTTTGTAGCTCACTGTTGAAAAATGGATTATATCTAAACACAATCACACCTCTTTCATAAATAACACACTTGCTCTGCAATAATGTCATGTTTTATGTTTCCTCTAATTTCTGTTAGGAAAGGACATGCCTGAAAGACACGACTCAGCATTTCTCCTTCTCCGAGGGTCAAGAAGAACATCCACGGGGAAAAAGAAGAGCTGATGTTTTGAGATTTAAGACCAATACAGGACATTCACAATAAATAAATAATAAAGTTAATAAAGAGAAACATGAAATGGTGTAAAATAGAGTGTCAGATGGCAGAGACAGCAATTAAGAGTCTAACGAGTTAATACAGAGTCTAAAGAGTGAGAGAGAGTGAATAAAGAGGGAACAGACCTGCTCTGTGGATCTGAAGCTGAGGCTGTAAAACAGCGTCCAGTAGTTTCCGGTGTCTCTCGTTCTCCTGTTTTGAACGAGACAGTTCCTCCTCGTAGTCTGCTATCGTTCTTTCAAACAGAACAAAGATGTCTTCAGCAGCCGCAGTGAGTCGCTGCTTCACCAACGAGAGCAGCACAACACTCATGTTTACTAAATCACCACTTCCTGTTAAACACACTGTTTCTCCGTGTGCTTCAGTCTCTGTTGAACACACTGTTTCTCTGAAGCTTCAGTCTCTGTTCAACACACTGTTTCTCTCTGAAGCTTCAGTCTCTGTTGAACACACTGTTTCTCTGAAGCTTCAGTCTCTGTTCAACACACTGTTTCTCTCTGAAGCTTCAGTCTCTGTTGAACACACTGTTTCTCTGAAGCTTCAGTCTCTGTTGAACACACTGTTTCTCTGAAGCTTCAGTCTCTGTTGAACACACTGTTTCTCTCTGAAGCTTCAGTCTCTGTTGAACACACTGTTTCTCTGAGCTTCAGTCTCTGTTGAACACACTGTTTCTCTCTGAAGCTTCAGTCTCTGTTGAACACACTGTTTCTCTGAAGCTTCAGTCTCTGTTGAACACACTGTTTCTCTCTGAAGCTTCAGTCTCTGTTGAACACACTGTTTCTCTGAAGCTTCAGTCTCTGTTGAACACACTGTTTCTCTCTGAAGCTTCAGTCTCTGTTAAACACACTGTTTCTCTGAAGCTTCAGTCTCTGTTGAACACACTGTTTATCTGAAGCTTCAGTCTCTGTTGAACACACTGTTTCTCTCTGAAGCTTCAGTCTCTGTTGAACACACTGTTTATCTGAAGCTTCAGTCTCTGTTGAACACACTGTTTCTCTCTGAAGCTTCAGTCTCTGTTGAACACACTGTTTCTCTGAAGCTTCAGTCTCTGTTCAACACACTGTTTCTCTCTGAAGCTTCAGTCTCTGTTGAACACACTGTTTCTCTCTGAAGCTTCAGTCTCTGTTGAACACACTGTTTCTCTCTGAAGCTTCAGTCTCTGTTAAACACACTGTTTCTCTGAAGCTTCAGTCTCTGTTGAACACACTGTTTCTCTGAAGCTTCAGTCTCTGTTAAACACACTGTTTCTCTGAAGCTTCAGTCTCTGTTGAACACACTGTTTCTCTCTGAAGCTTCAGTCTCTGTTGAACACACTGTTTCTCTGAAGCTTCAGTCTCTGTTGAACACACTGTTTATCTGAAGCTTCAGTCTCTGTTGAACACACTGTTTCTCTCTGAAGCTTCAGTCTCTGTTGAACACACTGTTTCTCTCTGAAGCTTCAGTCTCTGTTGAACACACTGTTTCTCTGAAGCTTCAGTCTCTGTTGAACACACTGTTTCTCTGAAGCTTCAGTCTCTGTTGAACACACTGTTTATCTGAAGCTTCAGTCTCTGTTAAACACACTGTTTCTCTCTGAAGCTTCAGTCTCTGTTCAACACACTGTTTCTCTCTGAAGCTTCAGTCTCTGTTAAACACACTGTTTCTCTGAAGCTTCAGTCTCTGTTGAACACACTGTTTATCTGAAGCTTCAGTCTCTGTTAAACACACTGTTTCTCTCTGAAGCTTCAGTCTCTGTTCAACACACTGTTTCTCTCTGAAGCTTCAGTCTCTGTTGAACACACTGTTTCTCTCTGAAGCTTCAGTCTCTGTTAAACACACTGTTTCTCTCTGAAGCTTCAGTCTCTGTTAAACACACTGTTTCTCTCTGAAGCTTCAGTCTCTGTTGAACACACTGTTTCTCTGAAGCTTCAGTCTCTGTTGAACACACTGTTTCTCTCTGAAGCTTCAGTCTCTGTTGAACACACTGTTTCTCTCTGAAGCTTCAGTCTCTGTTGAACACACTGTTTCTCTGAAGCTTCAGTCTCTGTTGAACACACTGTTTATCTGAAGCTTCAGTCTCTGTTGAACACACTGTTTCTCTCTGAAGCTTCAGTCTCTGTTGAACACACTGTTTCTCTGAAGCTTCAGTCTCTGTTAAACACACTGTTTCTCTGAAGCTTCAGTCTCTGTTGAACACACTGTTTATCTGAAGCTTCAGTCTCTGTTGAACACACTGTTTCTCTCTGAAGCTTCAGTCTCTGTTAAACACACTGTTTCTCTCTGAAGCTTCAGTCTCTGTTAAACACACTGTTTCTCTCTGAAGCTTCAGTCTCTGTTAAACACACTGTTTCTCTCTGAAGCTTCAGTCTCTGTTAAACACACTGTTTCTCTGAAGCTTCAGTCTCTGTTAAACACACTGTTTCTCTCTGAAGCTTCAGTCTCTGTTGAATACACTGTTTCTCTGAAGCTTCAGTCTCTGTTAAACACACTGTTTCTCTCTGAAGCTTCAGTCTCTGTTGAACACACTGTTTCTCTGAAGCTTCAGTCTCTGTTAAACACACTGTTTCTCTCTGAAGCTTCAGTCTCTGTTAAACACACTGTTTCTCTCTGAAGCTTCAGTCTCTGTTGAACACACTGTTTCTCTCTGAAGCTTCAGTCTCTGTTGAACACACTGTTTCTCTCTGAAGCTTCAGTCTCTGTTGAACACACTGTTTCTCTCTGAAGCTTCAGTCTCTGTTGAACACACTGTTTCTCTCTGAAGCTTCCTGAGCTGCTGTTCAGCTGGACAGCAGGAAGCAGAGGTTTGGGAGGATGATGTCCCTGATGCTGTTTAGATTTCTCCAGCACCACGGGGGGTCCTGTGTGGATGGCAGCTCCTTCCTCAGCAGATCCAGTTCTCCAGAATTGTCCTAGTCACAGATAAACAAGACGAACAATATCTTATAAACAAATGATGATTGCAAAATTATGACCATGACTAAAGGATTATTTAAAATTCCGTACTGTTTTGGTTTTAAAAATGTCTATATCTAAACAAAACATTTCTCCGAAGTGTTTGCTCAAAATATCAAACAGACCACCCTTTGTAGCCATGCCTCATACATTAGTTACACTGTACATGTTTTTACAGTTTTCCCCAAAAAAATTATTATTTTTTAAATTTTATTTCATGATGACAGGAAATCGAAGAATAAACGGTTTATTGAAATGTGTCATTTATTTTAACAAAAGAAAAACTGTATATATAGAATATATTATATATCTGTTTTTAGCATCTTTTAAAGTGCACCTATCATATCAGGGCTCAACGCTAACTTTTAAAAGTGGTTGCCAGGCATCAGCTTTTGGTTTCCAAAACTGAAAATACTGTTGCCATTTTTAGTCACCTTACATTTTAAATAATTAAGATACTATACAGTTATACATCAACTTAATAATGAACGTGTGACACAAAAGAATGTTCAAATGCTTTACAATAAGTAATTAACACAATTATTTGAAACTTAAGTGTTAGTAAACTTGTCCACCCTAAAAACACCAGTAGCTGTCATGTTCTTCACAGATCCCTCACAAAGGAATTGAGCAAGTCACTAGTTTCATCTCCCTTTCAAATGTTGTTTCAAGTTTATTTATACAGCACCTTTCAACACAAGGCAATTGAAAGTGCTTTACAAAAAATGAAAGACATTAAGAAAATCGCATTTAAAATCAGTCATTAAAAAGAAAACTAATAAAAGAAACATTAAAAGAAAAAATAAATGGATACAAGTTTCAGTGCAGTCTAAGATGTGAATAGTTCAATTAAAAGCAGCGACAAAAAGAAAAGTCTTCTTGCTGGATTTAAAAGTAGTCAGAGTTGCAGCGGACCTGCAGGTTTCTGGGAGTTTGTTCCAGATATTTGGAGCATAATAACTGAACGCTGCTTCTCCATGTTTAGTTCTGACTCTGGGGACAGAAAGCTGACCAGTCCCTGAAGACCTGAGAGATCTGGATGGTTCATCATTTAGCAGGAGGTCAGAAATGTATTTTGGGCCTAAACCATTAAAATCTTTATAAACGAGCAGCAGTATTTAGAAATCTATTCTTTGACACACAGGAAGCCAGTGTAAAGACTTCAGAACAGGAGTGATATTAAGTTAAACCCAAAAGTCACATTTATCATTATTAAAAGTAAGTTAAACCCGATACTTTAATAACTGATAAATGTGAGTATCGGGTTTAACTTACTTTTAATAATGATAAATGTGAGTATCGGGTTTATCTTACTTTAATAACTCACGTGCTGCTTTCTCTCTGAGACCGGACCGACATTTTCTTTGTTTCCTCGTCACCGGCGCGCATTGCATCCTGGGAGACGGTGGGCTGCGAGGAAGAGGACTCTTTAAATCTGGGAAAAGAAGAAGGCCGCTCTCCAACCCGCCCCTCCCCCCTCTCTTCTGTCTGTCCGCAGAATCAGAAGTCCTTTATTGGTCCCACAGAGGGACATTAACATGGTTACAGCAACAGTGGAGATAGATGCTGCTCCCAGACCGTAGTGGAGGAATACAGGGGAGGACTCTCTGCAGTCTTCCCGGACTGAAGCACCAGGCTTCGGCTTCAATAACCCACTCTGAAATGAGGCAGACAGGCAGGCTGTTCCTTGGGAGGTCGCTGTGTTTCCTCAGGACTTTGTTATACAGCTAACTGGAGACAGACTGATCACTGCTGCTACTCCCGCTCTCTTCCGGACACACACTACGCTCGCTCACTCTCGCTCTACACATGCACGCGCCACATGCACGCGCCACACCTCCCTCTCTCTCTTAAAGGGATAGGCGAACCCACTCTGCATCACCCTGCTGTTATAAGAGAGAGATAGATAGATAGATAGATAGATAGATAGATTATCTATCTATCTAGTGCTGGAATTGGGCCGGTACTCACCGGTACGCCGTACCGGCACTTCTGGTTCTGACCCATGGAGTACCGGCACTTCTTGCTCAGTACCGGCATGCTGGTGGTACTCCGGTACTCATGCACCGTGCCAGTACTCAACACTCTCCCGCCGTTCTTATTATCAGTGCTGGAATTGGGCCGGTACTCACCGGTACGCAGTACCGGCACTTCTGGTTCTGACCCATGGAGTACCGGCACTTCTTGCTCAGTACCGGCATGCTGGCGGTACTCCGGTACTCATGCACCGTGCCAGTACTCAACACTCTCCCGCCGTTCTTATTATACATCCATATATATATATACAGCCGCCCGGTACTCAGTAGATGCGTCATGAGGTGCCGAACGGACATTCTCATCGCTCTAACCGCTGGAGTTTCACAGCGGCTGTCAGCTGTTTACTCCTGTCATTCAAACAGAACGTGCTGGAGAGGGGGCGGGGCTTATCTTCTCCATGTAAATACTGTGGTGGAAACGACTATGTCAAAATTAACCTATTTGACCGTGATTTAATAGTAATACACGTTTCAAAATAATAATAATAATAATGCCGAAGTAACAACATACTGAAAACTGTTAGTAAAACCATGTTTTAAT